TCTCCAGCCTTATTAGTGCCTTTTGACAATGATATTCTGCTCTATATATTTGACTTTGTCCACCAGTGTTTCCAGGGCCTGAGGAAGGTGACACAAAAGAAAAAGACCAAAACTGTAGTACTCATGATGCTTATAAATATACAATCACACAATAGGATGCACTGCAGTATTTTAAATCTGTCCTCAATTTATTGCTAGTTGTTCTAGTACTTTGGATTTAACTGTGGTGCCAACTGACTGGAAGAGATCGATATTTGTTCCTATCCCAAAGAAAGGCGACCCAACCAAATGTGGAAACTACAGAACAATTTCACTGATTTCACATGCAAGCAAGATTTTACTGAAAATTATCCAAAAACGACTGGAACAGCACATCAACAGAGAACTACCAGAAGTCCAGGCTGGTTTCAGAAGGGGTCGTGGTACTAGAGATATTGTAGCTGATGTTAGATGGATCTTGGCTGAAAGCAGGGAATACCAGAGGAATGTCTATCTGTGTTTCATTGACTATGCAAAGGCATTTGACTGTGTAGATCATAACAAACTGTGGCTGACTGTGAGAAGAATGGGAATCCCAGAACACTTGATCGTTCTAATGCGAAACTTAAACTTGGACCAGGAGGCAGTCATCAGAACAGAGCAAGGGAACACTGCATGGTTCAAAATTGGGAAGGGCGTACATCAGGGATGCATCCTATCTCCATACCTTTTCAACCTATATGCAGAACAGATTATCCGGGAGGCGGGGCTCTATGAGGAGAAATGTGGGGCCAAGATTGGTGGACGATTTATCAACAATCTGCGTTATGCGGATGACACAACCCTGCTTGCTGAAACTGAGGAGGACCTGAAGCGCCTGCTGCAGAGTGTCAAGGACTGCAGCCCACAATATGGATTGAGGCTCAATGTCAAGAAGACAAAGATTCTCACCACTGGACCAATTGGCAGCATCAGGATGGATGGTGAAGAGATTGAGATTGTACACAACTTTAGTTTGCTTGGCTCCATAGTCAACAGTCTTGGCACCAGCAGCCAGGAAATTAAAAGGCGCATTGCCATGGGAAAATCTGCTGTTAGGGACCTCTCCAAAGTGCTGAAGAGCAGTGATGTCTCTCTGGAGACTAAGGTGCGTCTGATACAGGCCATGGTCTTTGCAATCACCTGTTATGCATCAGAGAGTTGGACAATAACCAAGGAGGATAGAAGGAGAACTGATGCCTTTGAGCTGTGGTGCTGGAGAAGAGTATTGAGAATACCATGGACTGCTAGGAAAACAAATAGATTTGTCCTGGAGAGGGTTAGACCGGGTGGCTCCTTGGAGGCAAGGATTCTGAGGCTCCGTCTAACTTACTTTGGACATGTAGTGAGGAGAGACCGGTCCTTCGAGAGGGACATCATGCTTGGGAGGGTGGAGTGATGGCGCAGGAGAGGAAGGCCCTCTATGAGGTGGATTGATTCAGTGACTGGGATAATTGGGATGGGAGTGTCAGAGACAGTGCGATTGGCACAGGACAGAACGGAGTTTAGGGCTGTTGTACATAGGGTCGCTATGAGTCGCAGGCGACTCGACGGCACATAACAAGAACCACAACAACATTAAGATCACACTTTTCATCTCATGGCAGTCCTAGAGTATCTAAGGTAAAGACCAAAGGGTTAGTATTTTCTAATTTTCAAATTAACTTCTAAAAATTCCAATTCACAAATGAGCACTTTGGCTAGTGTAGCTAATCAAATGTCAAAAGTATAATTTTTAAAAAGTCAATAATGTAAAAAAAAGAAAAGTTAAAAAAAGTCAATAATGTGACTATTATGCTTGCTTGTGTCAAAACAAGATGTACCTTATTAATGAAGGAAAAAAGTGGATAGTAAATTGAGATCAAGAAGGATGCAGCTGACAGAAATGTGTACTTCATCAGGGAAAGAACACTGGAAGAAGACTGCTAAATGAACCAATATCTGAATTACTGTGCTAACTCAAATGCTTGCATTTCTCTAGTGATTGGAATCCACCAGTAGCTCTTAGGAAGAAAAAGATATAGGCAATCTGTTCTTCAGTTTACAACCTTAAAAATCTAAGGGATGATCAGCTTTGAGTTGGCAACTCAGTGGCAGAGTTAAATTTTGAGTTCTTCTAATGGAAAGAATTCATTTGCCTCCAGTGAGCAAAAATTCATAATAATTTATTACTGTCTGATAAGTGAACATTTATTTTTATGTAATCTGAGCTTAATTAGAATAATGACCCCAAGTTACCCTTCCTTACAGTCGTGCTGTCCAAGAGCGTAGTCACACGTGGCAAAGGAGCACTTGAAATGTGACTAGTTTGAACTGAAATAATCTAAAAATGGAAATTGTATTTTAGACTTAGAAGATGTAGCATTAAAGAAAATGAGAAACATATAATTTTTAGAAGTAGTGATTATACATTGAAGTGATAATGTTTTGCATAATTACTGAGTTAAAATAATTTAAACTGCATTAACTTCCTTTTTAGCTTTTTTGATGTGACTATTGGTTGAAAATTACATAGGTGACTCACATTCTAATTTACTGTTGTGTGTTGGCCTAAAGCATGAGATGACTGGCGGAATTTTTAGCCAATACTCTAATACAATCTCAAAGGACATGCAGTAGTATTTTTGCCTTGGTTCTAAGTTTTGAGTAACTTTTGGATAGTTTCCTCCACACCAAATAGAGGGATCTTGAGAAAGGTTGGAATCCTTGGATGGTGCAAATACTTGACTTGCTCGGTTGCTAAACAAAAGGCTAAAGATATCTGCCCACTCAGAAGTTCTTTGGAAGAAAGGCCTGGTAATCTACTGCTGAAAAGTAAACCACCAAAACCATAAGATGGAATTAATGAAATGGCAAGTCCTTGGTTTGTTTTGATTAGTTCCCCTGATGACTTTAAGGCTGCATTTTAGAATTTGTATATAGACAGATTGATTGTAAATCATGATGTGCATGATTTATATTTTGGCACACTGATAGTAAAGGGAGAGTCAATGCCCTTGTAATTAAGACTTTACGTAACTATTTTGCTGATGGATATTTCTATTAACCAACTTTCACATGAGGAGGAAACTTATATGAGAATCAGAGGGAAGTGGCACTCATTTTCATTTTAAAGAGCAAAACATGTTAGGATAATAAAGAGATGTCAACTATTTATATGCTGTGAATAACGTCTTACAATTCCTAACAGAATAGTCTAACACACTAATGGATAACCAGTGTAAGGTGTTTTTTAAGGCTGCTAATTCACCCATCACTAATCTTATTAGGTTGTTAATTCCCAGAGGGCATGGTTGGTGGCAGTCACTGTTTACAAAAGCTGAATAAATGCTATTCAGTGAAACCTCAGGGGTGATTCTTAGGTTAAAAGAAGATACCCCATTTTTGATTTATAACTGGGCATAATTTTAAAGTCCCTGTTGACTGTACCACAATTAAGACCAGTATATTTAAGTAACATTTTCTCCTATAGACACATAGATGAACAGGAATTTCTAATGCATTAGAATATTTCATTGGTCTCCAAATATAAGTATATAATTACATTAAGTATATAAGTAGAACATTCATTTAATATTTTCTCTTAAAAGAAATTGTCAACTGCTTGTGACAAAAGGGCAAGAAATGAAATAGCAACTCTAAAGTACCAAAGCAAACTTCATTCTAGAACACAGATGTTCATTTTGGAAGAGGATATGAATGAGTGCTGTTAGTCTCATCCACAAGTGGTAAGTAATTGTTCATGTCTTCTAGTATTTCCACTCTATTTTTACTTGACACTTCTTATCAATGGTTTTCTAGTTCAAATCTATGGTGCCTCTTCTAACTCAAACATATGCTTTCTGAAAGTTAGTAATTTTATTACTAACTATAGATTCAAGTTCCCAGGTAAAGAACGTTCTTTTATGACGTGTAAAATCTTCTCACTGTAAGGAATCGAGAATTTTGATGGACTGAAATGAATTTCTGTATTTCAGGATACAATAGGAAATTTAAAAAAAAAACCAAAAAACAAACAACAACCAACAACCAACAAAACACCGAACAAATAAAAAAACACAGAACCAACACGACTTCTTATTTTGATAACATGTCTCAATGTCTAGTGCCTAGTCCATTGAGGATTCTTTGAAGTCTTGGAAGGGGGTAGTCTCTCTTATTACCCCTATTCTTGTGGGCCAGAGACCCCTAGGGAGGACCCTAAGAGCTTTTTTATAAACAGCCCAATTTTTCGCCTTTGGAGAACTGAAAAGGCTGCCCCGCCCCCATGTGTGAAAAGCCGGATTTGATAGAGTTTAAATGTCTTCCCATCAAAGATTTAAATCCCTAACCCCTTACCATCCATGACCACCCCCTCAAGGGTGTTATAGCCCCTCTCATCTCACCCTAATAGCTTTGGACTGGTCCCGGAATCCCTGTTCCAGTCCACAGCTCCTGTGGGTCTGTACTCAGAATTCACAGAGGTGCTGTGTTACTTCCCTTGCGAAGAAACAAAATTATTGAGAAACTTTAGGTGGGAAGCATTCCCTTTTTGTGCCGATGAGAAGGGAAGCATGTGCCCAAACATCCCTGGGAAAAAGAACTTTCGGGGGCAAAGGAGTGAACAGGTAATTTAGAAGAAAAACAGAAAGTGGTCTCTCATCACCCTGGACTTCTCAAAGAGTTGGGGGAATTGAGGACTCCTGGACGCGTTGTATTTGTAGCTGGGAAGAAAAGAACTGAACAGCATGAAGCCTGAGACTTCTAGGATCCATTCTCGACCAAACCCGGGTGATTTGGTGCAAGGGATTTTGAGATTTTCCCCTTTTTTTGAGGTGTAACAAACACAACTTGGGCGCATCGCAGCGGCTCAGAGCTTGCCAGCCAGGCGGGCGACCGGAGCACCAATCAGCGCGCGCCTGCGCTCTATATATACGGCGGCCCGGGCCCAGATCCTTTCCATCGCTTCTCTGCTACTTGTACTCTAGTACGAAATCCTCGTCATGTCGGAGACTGCTCCTGCTGCCCCCGCGGCTGCGCCCCCAGCGGAAAAGACCCCTGTGAAGAAGAAGGCTCCCAAAAAGCCGGCTGGAGCGCGTCGCAAGGCGTCCGGGCCTCCGGTGTCCGAGCTTATCACCAAGGCAGTGGCCGCCTCTAAGGAGCGCAGTGGTGTATCCTTGGCTGCGCTTAAGAAAGCGTTGGCAGCTGCTGGCTATGATGTGGAAAAGAACAACAGCCGCATCAAGTTGGGCCTGAAGAGCCTGGTGAGCAAGGGCACTCTGGTCCAGACCAAGGGTACCGGTGCTTCTGGTTCCTTCAAGCTCAACAAGAAGGCAGGTTCCGGTGAGGCCAAGCCCAAAGCCAAGAAAGCCGGCGCAGCCAAGGCTAAGAAGTCTGGTGCGAAGAAGGTTAAAAAGGCAGCGGGAACGGCCACCCCAAAGAAAACTGCCAAGAAGACCCCGAAAAAGGCGAAAAAGCCAGCGGCTGCTGCTGTGGCCAAAAAAGTGGCTAAGAGTCCCAAGAAGGCTAAGGCCGCCAAGCCGAAGAAAGCCAAAAGCGCAGCCAAGGCTGTGAAGCCTAAAGCAGCTAAGCCCAAGGTTGCAAAACCTAAGAAGGCAGCACCCAAAAAGAAGTAGGTTGTTCCGAACACCTGCTTTAAAAACCCAAAAGGCTCTTTTCAGAGCCACCACATACTTCAGAAAAAGAGCTTTAGCATTTACAATTCTACCCTTAACATTTTATTCTTAGGGGGTGGAAAAGAGGGTACGGTGGTTGCCTCGCTCGGGACTCCACGCTTGCGCATTCTTAGTTCGCTTCCTGGTCGGAGAGGTTCCTAGGCTCAGCTCCTGGTGTACTCAGGATATCCGCCAGCTACGCCCCACTCCGGTGAAGAGCAAAACAAGTTGAGTTGATCTAGTTTTTAGGAATTATGTCCGGATTGGGTTGAAATACCATTCAAAAGTCCCGCCCTGCGCGCGGGTTGGCCCGCATTTCCAGCCCATGATTTCCCTCCTGTATTTAATTGGACAGTGATCGGCTTCTTGCCTAGTCTTTTCTGTTTCCCCCCCTTTACTTGAACGTTTACTTTCTTTTGCGTTTGTGGCTGAGATGTGTGGGCGTCCTGGCGCTTTAAATGTTCTCCAAAGTCAAGTTGATGTCTCTTGGAGTGCTTGGCAACGTCTTGCCTGAGAGACAAGTGGGTGGGGAAGCCTTTGTCCTTCATTCTAGTTTTTTGTAGTGACATAAAAGGAATCTTTAAGCAGCAAGGACAAGGTCCCTTTCCCGACGGTGAGACTTTTCTTTTTCGTAGCACGTAGATTTTGGCACTAGTGTGGATTTGCGGGTATCAAAACCAGAACTTCTAAGCGGCCATTTTGTCCTGTCTGGCAGTCACGATGCACATTTTAACGGTTTTAACATCTGAAAACTGAGGTTACTTCAAAGGCTTTTTTATACTCTGCATGTTTCCACTCGAAAGTGTTGGCCTACCTGCAAATAGGAATATAATTTCTACAAGAAGTACATTGGTATTTTTTCTATCAACGACATTTCTGGTTTCAAAAAGTGCAGCTCTGCTTTTTGTTCCAACGGGCACACATTTTCTTGTAGCCCAAGCTCAGGACCAGAGCTCAAGAGACTTCGAGTTTAGTTCTTTACTCCTTACCTAAGGAAGAGTCTAGAGTAGAGTAACCCTGTAAATCTTGTCCTGACTCCAGTTTTGCCCTGCCCTACTGCAAAGGAATTTAAGCATTTTCTTTTTATCTCATGAGGACTTTCCTCTCTTTCACCTACCTTCTGTGATTCCCAGCATAATGCCTCTTGTTAAGGACTGATTTATCCTGAAAATATGCCCAAAGTGAGATAAAGTTTTACTTGCTTTGTCTTGAAGGAGCATTCTGGTTATGCGTCCTTTAAGACAAACTTGTTTGTCCTTTTGACATTCAGTCTATGGGATGGTCAATACTTTGTCAACACCACAGTGCAAAGGCATATCCTTGTTCATTGACCAACTTTCAAATGAATAAGAAACAACTGAAAATAGCATAGTTTGGGTCAGGCTCATCTTACTCTTTAAACTGACATCCTTGCTCTTTTGCATTTTAGAGAGGTCCTTGACAGAAGATTTTTCTCAATGCAACAAGAAATCTTGATTTCTTGGCTGCTGCTTGTAGATCTAAATAAAATTAAATCATTGACAACTCCAATCTGTCCTACATCTATCATGATGTTGGCTATTGATCCAGAACTGACAATTTTTATTTTCTTGATGTTGAAGTGTAACCCATATTGAATGCTTGTATCTTCTGCATCAAGTACTTCAAAGTACTTCACTTTCTGCAAGCAAGGTTGTGTCCTCTGCATAATACACAGCTTGTTAATGAGTCTTCCTTCAGTCCTGATGCCCTCTTCTTCATATAGCCCAACTTCTTGAATTATTTGCTCAGCATACAGATTCAATAGGTATGGAGAAAAGATACAACCTTGAAGCACACTTTTCTTAATTTTAAATCATGCAGTATTCACTTCGGGTTGTAAAATTGCTTCTCGGTCTATGTAGTTTTCACATGAGAACAATTAAGTGTTCTGGAATTTTCATACTAGCCATAATTTGTTATGATCCATACAATAAAATACTTTTACTAATCAATAAAATACACATAAATATCTTTCTGGTATTCTCTGCTTTCGGCCAAGATCTGATCCATCAGTTATCAGAGATATCCTTCATTCCACTGCCTCTTCTGAATCCAACTTGAATTTCTGGCAGTTCTCTGTTGATACATGGTTCCAGCCATTTTTAAATCATTTTCAGCAAGATTTTACTTGCATGTAGTATTAATGATATTGAGTTTGAGCATGACAGACATAATAAGCATGGTTCAGGTTAGAGTAAGATTCAGATCTGTTGTTCATAGGGTCACCTATTAGTTGCAGTGGACTTGACTGTACTTAACATCACTAACAACAACCCTTTAAAAAATCTTAAATAAGAAAGACACACACACATTATCTTATATTTTCTTGTAGGGATTTTGTGATACTTATTTTACATTAAAAATAACAGCCTTCCGTACTTTGATATTAAGTGTAATTTATTATTCAACCTCCTATGTTCCCGCCCCCCCCCATTATTGACAAATTCCTTTGCTCTGAGATGAGCAGCTAAGACTACATTCCATGGACGCTCTCTCTTTCCTTGCCTTAAAACTCTGAACTCCCTCACAGCTGACACTCAAGCAGGTTTTCAGAGGCTGTAGGTTGTGAGCAAACGGCTCTTATTTTTTAAAAAAATTTTATTTGAACCAGTTACCTTTGAGTGCAACTCCTTAACTTTTAGGCTATCAGAATTACCTCATTCCTCTGGATGGTACACTAATTCTCATCTGTGGATTCTGTTCTTTGATCTCTTTCTAGTGGCTCCTAAACTGAGATTGCTCTGCTTTAAATGCTTTCTCCAACATTAAGGAAAAAAACCACACAAAAAAACAACACAAACCTGACTTATTGCTACTCAATGATAGAATGATCTCCCAGCTTTCAATGTCCTTATGAAGTTGCACTGTTAACTCAGAGGTGGTACCTCTCTGATGATTTGAATCTACTATCTGCTCCACCAGAGAAAGATGGCCATTCTCCTGTGCAATATACTGCTTCAGAAAACCTACTGAAGAGTCAGCTCAGAGTAGCTTTTGACTTGACCATGATGAATAGTGAATAGTCAATGATGGAATGATTAATAGCTGAGGTGTCCTAACACTTTAAATAGTTGGTAGGACTAATTCAACCTCTCATTGCTGTTTTTCATCATTTTCTTGTATGTTTGTTTTATTACTTATTTTGTCCCATCTGTATTTTATGAAGCTTCTACTTCCTAACCCTTTTATACATAAAACTCTCAACAAGCTATTGGTAGTTGTTGGGATTATGTTAAATTATAAACTAATTTAGCATGAAATAACTATTAAGATGATGACAATAATTCTCATATTCAAGAATATTTTATGTATTTCTTTTTTGTTCTAATTTAGTATTCTGTATTTGAGAGTTTATATTATTTCCACATCTTTATCTTTCTTATATATTTTATCTCTTTATTGTTATTGGAAGGGAGTTCTGGTGGCATAGTGATAAAGAACTGTGCTGCCAATCTGAAGGTAGACAGTTTGAATCCACCAACTGTTCCTTGAAAGAAAGATGGATCATTTCCTCACATGTAATTAATTACTTCTGAAAATGCATTGGAGGATTAGCTATGGGTTGTTTCTAGCTTGATGTTACATAACAACAACAATGGCATTGTTATTGGAACTGAACATAGGATAATTTTAGGTTCTTTGATGTGCAACATACTATAAAGTAAACTTTAGAACTTTCAGTTAAAAGTAAATTAGTAATCTATGGGAAAATTCTTGGAAGTAGTAGTGGCATCCATTTCCATAAATAGCTTGCCTCTGGAAACCCTATGCACCTGGAGAAAGGATGAAAGTCACGTAGCCAAGTGTTGAGGACTTTCATTCATAGGGTCGCTATGAGTCACCTACGACTCGATGGCACTTAACAACAACATAGGAAAACACTGTCCATAGCATTATATAGTGAGCACAAATGGAAGTCAGGTAATTTAAAACCAATTAGAAGTTACTTAAGAAAGGAAAAAAAGAAAACTATGAAGATAATATTAATTGTACTAGTGTTATATATTTAGTTAATTTAGAATATGTCATAGAGGGAGCTCTGGTGGTCTAGTGATAAGAAGCTGAACTATAAAGGCATGCGGTTCAAATCCACCAGCTGCTCCATGGGAGAAGGATGGGTAATCTCCCCCCATGCGACCACCAGAGGGTCTCCATGAGTTGGTTATAGGACTCAATGGTACACAGCAACAAAAACATATGCCATATAATTTCAGACATAAACTCAGAGTCAAGATTATCTGACATATTTAACTTTTCTCCCTCTCATACTGTGTCTTCAGAATGTGATGTATATTTTACATCTTAAGTTTCATTAGCCCATTTCAAATGATAAATTAATCCTGAGTGGCTTGTGGTTGTCACATTTACTGCCCTTGAGTCCACTGGTTTCTAATGAGACTGCCCCATCTTTATCCCAAGGATCTGGTGGTGGATTTGAATCACCAAACATTTTAAATGCTGGTATGCCACCTGGGCTTCTTGTGGTCACTGTATTGGTGTGCAACTAAAAAAAAAACCCGAAACCAACAGACATTTTTTTAAATCTCAAATATACAGCTGATTTCCTCAGTATCAAACATCTCTTGATTTCTTGACTGCTACTTTAATGGATCAGAGAGTTGGACAATGACTAGGGAGGATAGAAGGAGAATTGATGCCTTTGAGCTTTGATGTTGGAGAAGGGTATTGAGGGTACCATGGACTGCTAAGAAAACAAACAGATTCATCCTTGAGAGGGTTAAACGGGGCTGCTCTTTGGAGGTAAGGATTCTGGGGCTTCTTCTGACATACTTTGGTCATGTTGTAAGGAGAGACCAGTCCTTGGAGAAGGACATCATGCTTGTGAGGGTGGAGGGCAGGCGCAGGGGGGTAAGGCCCTCTAGGAGGTGGATTGATTCGGTGACTGGAGTGATCGGGATTGGTGTGTCAGAGACAGTGAG